GCCGCGTCCGAGTCCGATTTTTTTTTTTTTTTTTTGGTAGCCGTTCGAACCGAGTTCTTTGAACACTAGGCCCGGGGGCTCTTCCGTCGGGGTTGGTACGCGAGGCTGGACCTCGTGCCCCCTTAGGGTATGTTAGCCACGATAGTCGAGTCCCTGTCGGACTAGGCCCTGGGGCTCCTCCGTCGGGGTTGGTACGCGAGGTCGGACCTCGTGCCCCCTTAGGGTATGTTAGCCACGATAGTCGAGTCCCTGTTGGACTGGACCCTGGGGCTCCTCCGTCGGGGTTGGTACGCGAGGTCGGACCTCGTGCCCCCTTAGGGTATGTTAGCCACGATAGTCGAGTCCTTGTTGGACTGGACCCTGGGGCTCCTCCGTCGGGGTTGGTACGCGAGGTCGGACCTCGTGCCCCCTTAGGGTATGTTTGGGGAAGTTGGGTACAAAAACTCCTTCCTTCGCGATGGGTGAACAAGAAAAGGTGTTTCTTATTACATAACTTTATTCTGTTCATAGCAACGGAGGGGGACTGCCGCCTCCTATGACATTATTTGCAAAACACTAATGGAGATGGCGCTAACTCCGTATGGTCGAGTTGGTCCGCGGTGGATCACTGGTAATACCTCAACAAATGCTCCGAGTTCCAAACTCTAGGTATCTCCTTCCCTTTGGGGTTCTTGAGCTTGTAGCTGCCGGGACGGACCACCGCTGCCACAATGTAGGGGCCTTCCCAGTTTGCCGCGAACTTCCCTCCAGCTTGGGGTTAGCTTGCTTCTCTCCTTCGGAGTACATAGTCCCCTACTTGGAAATAACGGGGTTGCACTCGTTTGTCGTGGTAGGACTTGGTTTGCCGCTGGTAGTTTTCAACTCGGATAGAGCTGCCTCTCTTCTATCATCTATCATGTGGAGGTCGGCGCTATGGCGTTCTTCGTTGGTGTCGGGGTCATATTCTTCTTCTCGCCGGGAAGGTATGACCGCCTCCGCGGGGGCTCGGGCTTCAAAGCCGTAAGCTAACGAAAACGGTGTCTCCCCGGTGGCCCTTCTAGGGGTGGTGCGGTAGGCCCATAAGATGGCATCGAGCTCCTCCACCCATGCTCCCCCTGCGGATTCAAGTTTCTTCTTCAGACCGTTTACTATAGTGCGGTTGGCATTCTCCACCTGCCCGTTGGCTTGTGGATAGCAAACGGCTACTCGGCTATGGCTGATGCGCCACTCGGTGCAGAAACTCTCGAACTCTTGCGCCTCGAATTGGCGCCCGTTGTCAGTGATGAGTTGCATCGGGACCCCAAATCGACACAAAATGTCCTGGTAGACAAACTGTTTGCACCGGGCACTTGTGATACTTGCCAGCGGCTTTGCCTCTACCCATTTGGTAAAGTAGTCGACAGCCACTATGAGGTACTTTCTTTTGCCCGACCCCATGGGCAAGGCTCCTACTATGTCCACCCCCCACCTGGAGAAGGGGATGACCGAGCTGATCGGTGTGTAGTTCGTGGCGGGTCGGCCGGGGCCGACCTGAAAGTGCTGGCATGTCTCGCAACTCCTTACGTAGTCGGCACACTCTTTGGCCATTCTCGGCCAAAAGTACCCCTGCAGGATGGCTCGACGGGCCATGGTGAAGGCGCCCTGGTGGGCGGAGCAGGTCCCTTCGTGGATTTCTTCCATGACCGACCTGGCTTCGTCCGGGTACAAACAGCGGAGTAGGGCGCCGTTGTACGACCTCTTATAGAGCGTGTCCCCCATGATGACATATGTGGGGGCACGCCACTTCACTAGCTTGGCATCAACCTCATCAGGAGGTAGCGTACCTGTCTGTTTGTACTCCTTGAGGTGGTCCAACCAACAGGGGGGGTCGGCTCTGTATGGGTAAGACTGGGTAGAATTCCAGACTCGACCTCTCGAAGTCTTCGACCCGGGCAATTTTTGAGATGTGCTCCGGGGCCCCCTGGCTGAGCTTGGACAACATGTCGGCATCCGTGTTTTGGACTCGGGGTACCTGTAGGACTTCATAGTTTATTAGCTGGCCCAGGAGCTGGAGCACCACATCCCGGTACCTCCTCATCCTCTCGTCACTTGCCTCGAACTCTTCTGTGACTTGGCCCACTACCAGCCTAGAGTCACATCGGATCTTGAGCTTCTCGACCCTCATGTTTAGTGCCAGGCGGAGCCCTCCGAGGAGCGCCTCGTACTCGGCTTCGTTGTTGGACAGCTTGAAGGCAAAACAGAGGGCGTAGTAGGCTCTGAACCCCTCGGGTGTGATGAGGATGACCCCACCCCCGCAGCATTTTGGTCCCGAAGCTCCGTCTGTGGACAGAGTCCACCACTCCTCGTCTTCATCTCGGACCTGCTCGGTGGCTTCCCGGGCAGTGCACTCGACTATGAAGTCTGCTAGTGCCTGCCCCTTGATGGCTGGGCGGGTCCGAAATTGTATGTCGTACTGGCTGAGCCGCATGGCCCATTTGACCAACCTGCTGGCCGACCCCGAGGCCCTCAACACCGCATCTAGGGGCTGGTTGGTAAGGACGTGAACGGGGTGGGCCTGAAAATAATGGCCGAGCTTCTTTGTGGTGATGTCTACCGCAAATATGGCTTTCTCGACAGGCGTGTACATGATCTCCGCTCCCCGTAGAGCTCGGCTCGTGTAGTACACGGGCCGTTGGATCCCGTCATCGTCCCGGACCAGCACAGAGCTGACTGCGGCCTGGGAGATGCCGAGGTACAAGTACAGGACCTCCCCCTTGACGGGTTTGGCTAGTGGGGGGAGCGACATCAGATATGTCTTGAGATCCTCGAAAGCCTTTTGGCACTCCGGAGACCACTCGAACCCCTTGGTCTTCTTGAGTACTCCAAAGAATAGCAGAGATCTTTCGGCCGACCTCGAGAGGAAACGACCGAGGGCCGCTAGTCGCCCATTGAGGCGCTGGACTTCCCGGAGACACCGTGGGGGCTCCATGTCCAGGATAGCTTTTACCTTGTCCGGGTTGGGCTCTATGCCCTTCTTGGAAACCATGTACCCCAAGAACTCCCCCCCCCCCCCCCCCCCCCCCCCGTGGACCCCGAAGGTGCACTTCTTGGGGTTAAGACGCAGACTGAAACGTTGCATAATTGAAAATACCTCAACTAGGTCGTCCGTGTGTAGGGGTGTTAGCGAACAGAGCTTTCGGCAAACTACTCGTGTTCGTGTTCGGTAAGCGTTCGTTTATGTTCGTTTGTTAAGGTAAACGAACATTAACAAACAAAATTTAGAGCTCGGTTAATAAACGAACAGAGCTTGAACAGTTCTAAGCTCGTTTGCTAAGAGATCGTGAACAAGCTTGTTTGTGTTCGTTTACTAATGTTCGTGAACAAGCTCGTTTCTGTTAGTTTAATAATGTTCGTGAACAAGCTCGTTTGTGTTCGTTTAATAATGTTCGCGAACATGTTCACAAACATATATATTATATTATATTATATTAGTTATGTAATTGTGTTGTTTGTTTGATTATTGTTCGTGAACGTAAATTATTTATTGTTCATGAACGAATTGTGATCATGAACATGTGCAGGTGTTTGTTTATTAAGTGTTCATGAACGTAAATAAATATGTTTGTGAACGTGCTTGTTAATGAACATGTTTGTGAACGTGTTTGTTAACGTTAACGAACACGTTTACGAACGTGTTCACGAACATTAACAAACACGTTCGCGAACATGTTCGTTAACGTTAACGAACACGTTCGTGAACATGTTCGCGAACGTTAACGAACACTAACGAACGCTTAACAAACGAACACGAACAGGATTTTCAAAAACCTTAACAAACGAACACGAACACGAACACTCAAAATTCCTTAACAAACGAACACGAACACCCTCCGTTCGTTTATGTTCGGTTCGTTAACAGCCCTATCCGTGTGCAGGTTAGCTTCGGTGCTCTTCACTATCATGTCGTCCACATAAGCTTGTAGGTTGCGACCGATGACTTGTTTGAACACCTTGGCTACCATCCGGGTGTAGGTGGCGCCCGAGTTCTTCAACCCGAAGGCCATGACCTTGTAACAGTAGACCCCTTCTGGAGTGGTGAAAGCCGTCTTCTCTTCATCAGCTTCCTCCATAAAGATCTGGTGGTACCCCCTGAATGCGTCAAGGAAACTCATGAGGGCACACCCTGCTGTCTCGTCCACCAGCTGGTCGATGTTGGGAAGCGGGAAGGGGTCCATGGGGCAGGCCTTGTTGAGGTCGGTGTATTCCACGCACATCCTCCAGGTGGGCGACTTCGGGGCGAGGACCACATTAGCCAACCAGGTGGGGTATATGACCTCTCTGATGTGACCTATCTCCAAGAGGGTGTCGACCTCTTTTTTCACGAACTCCCTCCTGTCTGTGGAGAGGTACCTCTTCCGCTATTGGACTGGCTTGACCGAGGGGTCCACAGCCAGCTTGTGTGTGATCACCTCGCGGCTGAGGCCCGGCATGTCTTCGGGGCCCCATGCGAAGATCTCCTTGTAGCTCCGGATCGTGTCGATGATGCGAGCTCGGAGCTCATCCGGGAGGCCGACCCCAACCTTCACGACCCAGTCGGGTCGGTTGAGATCCAGGACGACTTCCTCCGACTCGACTATGGGCTCGGCCCGAGGCCGACCCGTTTCGTCTCGTAAGGCCTTCTCGGCTATGGTGTGGACCCGGAGGTCCTTCTTGCCCATCTGGCGGCACGCCCGTAGGTAACAGCTACGACTCACCCTCTGGTCCCCCCGGGCAGTCCCGACCCCGTTCGGCGTTGGGAATTTGAGACACAGGTGCTCCATGGAAATTACGCACCTGAGGTCCTCCAGGGCAGGTCGGCCAAGTATCATGTTGTGGGCGCAGCTGATTTTTACAACCACGAACTCGACCCTCCACTTCTTGAGGTGAGGTGCGGTGCCTATCTCCACATCCAGGCTGATCGATCCCTCCGTCTCGGTCGAGTCCCCCGTGAACCCAGACAGGGGGGTCCTAACCTGCTCCAGCTGGTCCCTTGGGAAGCCGAGTTAGATGAACGTGTCGTAGTACATGACATTTACCGAGCTGCCCGTGTCTACGAGCACTCGGTGCACTACTACGTTGTTGACGTCCAACTTGATCACCAGGGCATCCCGGTGTGGTAGGGGACCGTCCGGCAGGTCGTCATCGGTGAAGGTGATGGGTTCCCTCCGTAGCTTCTTCTCCCGTGGGGCTTGTGTCACATCCCCGACGTATAGACTCCTCGCCCATTTCTTCCGTTCGGCTTGGGTGTCGCCACCCTCGGGTCCTCTAAAAATGACATAAATGGACCGCTTCTTTGGGGGCTGGGAGTCTTCTGTCGTCTTGTCGTCTTCTTCAGAGCTTTGGCCGTGCTCTCTCTTGCGGGGTGCCGGGTTGGGTGGCGCGGAGCCACCACTCCCTTTCTTCCATACGTTATCTCGGCCCTGGCCTTGGGGTTGGCTGGGCCGTTTAATGAAGTGGCCCAGGTAACCCATCTGGATGAGCTCCTCAATTTGCTTCTTCAGGAGGATGCACTCATCCGTGTCGTGACCCTTTTGGCGGTGGAACCGGCAGTACTTCCTGGGATCGCCCTTCGCCGAGATCTTCATGCACTCCTCCTTTGGGAACTCGACGATCCCCTGGTCCTCCGCGTGGGCCAGGATGACACTCACGGGGTGCGTCAGCGGGGTAAGGAAACGTGTGGGGTTCAGCCTGGGCCCCTCAGCGTAGTCGCGACGATGCTGCCGAGATGCCCTACCGCGTTCCTCCTGGGGGGCCTTGTCCTTCCGACCTCTCCCTTCTTCCTGCTCCCTTTTTCTCTTCTCGGCAGCTTCGGCGTCAGCATATCTGGCCGCCCTGTCCATCAGGTCGGCATAGTTCTTCGGAGGGTACCGGATGAGATCCTGGTGGAAAGCACCCGACCTCACATTGTTCCTGAAAATTGGTATAGCCGACTTACCATCGAAGTTGGTGACTCCCATGACTTCTTTCTTCCACTTATTGAGATACTCGGCTAATGACTCCGAGCTCTTCTGTTTCAGGTCTCACAGGTCGGCGATTTGCTTCTTCCTTGGTATGCTGGTGGCGAAGTGGGACAGGAACTGCTTGGTTAGGTCCTTGAAGGTGGAGATGGACCCTCCTGGGAGGGACCCAAACCAGTCATGTGCCTGTCCGTCCAGAGTGGCAAAGAATCCCCTACATAGGATGGCGTTAGTAGCCTCGGTAATCATCATGGCGGCCCTGTACCTGGTGAGGTGCGACCGCGGGTCTGTGGTTCCCGAGTACGCTTTGACAGTGGGGAAACGGAAATCCTTGGGCAGGGGTTCCTCCATGATAGAACTCACGAACGGGGTGGACAGTATGTCATTGGACTCTGAGGACCCGTCCCTTTCATCGAACTTCTTCTGGAGCTCGTCCATCCTTCTCCGTAACTGCTCGACCTCGTCCCGGTTGGAGCTCGGGACTCGGCCATTTGTCTCACCTGTTCGCTCCACCCGGGCGGTTTGTCCGCGTCGTGGGGGAGCTCGGGTCTCTCGGTCTGGGGATCTACGCGAGCCCGCCTCCTGTTGCGGTGGAGCTCGGGGTCCGCGACTTGGCGACCTCCGAGTGCCCGCCGCTTGTCGTGGCGGCCTGCGGGAGCACGATTCGGCCGCTGGTGGGTTATTGGCGGCCGGCCTCAGACCCAACCTGTCCCGTGCCGACACGCGCTCGCCCAACCGTTCCAGGGCGGGCCTGGTTTGGGTTGGGGCCCTTCCATCATCACCATGCTGACGGTCTCGGCGGGAGCTCCCTCCTCCTCGTCTGTCCGTCGGGCGGGGGGAGTTGACTTCTCCTTGTGTGGCCCGTGCCGGAGGTGGCACGGCGCTCGGCCCGCTGCGCCCCCGGGAGAGAGGTGGAGGCGGTATGGCTCTCGGCGGCACGCCCCCTTGGGTGGCGCCTGGGTCGGCTTGTTCCTCTGCCCGGAGGCCCGCCGCAACACGGGCCAGTGCCGTGGAGGCTTGTTCGAAGACCGCCACCCCCTCCTGGATGAGGGCGCGAGTTGGAGCGGTAGCGGGAGCCGTAGCAGCGGGAGCCACGGGGGGTGGTGCACCACTGCTGCGGTGGTTGGTGAGCTGGGCCCTCAGGTCTCCTCCCGACCTGTTGGAGGCGGCCGGTTAGACGCTGGGGGCCCTGTTGGGGCCGTTCCCGTTTGCGACGAGCTGGGTGCCGCGGGAACCGTTGATGTGGCGAGAGTTGGATCTCGATCTCGTCATCGCTGTGGATGAATGATAATGGGGATAGCGCTCAAGCTTATACAGCAGCTCTCAACAAGAGCACCAATGATGGATTTAATTCCTCGGGGGTAGCCCGAATTATTAAACCCGGATAAGTATACGTACGAAATAAATAATAGGACGCAGAGATATAATAAGGTCGCGGGGACCGTAGGTCGCAGGGACCGTATATTGTATTAATTATCGCTAATAAGCTATTACAAGGCTTGATTAGGACAATAAGGCTAGAAGATAGCAATTCAGGAATCTGTTGTGTTGTGTAATGATCAGGTCCCTTGTTAGGACAAGAGGGAGTCCTTTTATATCAGCTCAAAACCCCCCAACCGCACCCCTAGAATCGGGGTTAGTTGGGTCGGCCCGCCTTGACCACGTCCCCCCGGGACCGGGTCCAAGGCGGGCAACTCGGCATGGCCGAGCTCGGCCTAGCCGAGTCCCCCATGGACCCGCCCGGTAGTGCCCGGGTCCATGGTGGTGGGCTCGGGTGTACCGAGCCCACCCGTGGCCGGACTCGGCCCAAGGCCGAGATGCCTTGGGCCGACTCGGCCACGGCTCACTTGACTGGGCCGAGGGGCTTCTCGGGTCCGTCTCTTCCGGGCCCAATATATCCATCAGTATGTATGTATGTATGTATGTATAGACACACACACTCACAAACACGCGCACTTTTAATTCTATATTGATAAACATAGTTTGTGTATATACTTTAAGAAAATATTCATTATTAAAAATGAGATATAATTTAAAAAGTAAATTATTAATTAGATTACCTAATATAATTGTCCTACTAATTGATTCCATGCTACTATTTATAATTCATATATTTGAAGACTTTTTAAAGCTAAATACCTATTAATTGCCTTAATAATAATTTAGATAATTTTTAGTCAATCAATATTCAATAGCACTAAAAGCATTACTTTGAATTTTTATAAATAAGATATAATATTATTAAACCGAAATAATTAAAAATAATGTGTCCATAGTACAAAAGATTTTATAATAGTAATTTTTATTGCCTAATAGAATTTGTCAATTATTAAACATTATTTATGGAAGATTTTACTTTTATTAATAGTATAGATATAGAGTGGTGTAAATAATAAGTAATAAATTATTTTTTCCTTATAAAATTACACCGAAATTATAGTATAGATATATATTGATGTAAATTATTATTTCCTTATAATATCACTGGTTTGAATTACACATTATTGAAAATCTCTTTGTAGACGATATTGGTAGTAGTAACAGAATTTTGTCCATTGCATCCTCGTGTAGAGTTAAAACTTTCAGGCCATCAGGATGGGTGACTCGAGAAAAAGTCATGTACAATTAATCGTGATTAAAGACTGATTTTTTAAGTAATAACCCAACGTGAGTTAGTGTTTGACCCTGACTTTTGTTGACAGTCATGGTATATGCAAGCAACAACGGGAATTGTTTATTCTAGAGTTTCAAGGGCAATCTCGTATCAGAAGGGGTAAGAGACATTTTAATGGAAGATTTTACAGAAATGTCCCTAGGTTTTGGGGGAAAAACTTGGCTAGGATGATTTTACTTTTAATTATATATAGATTACAATTAATTTTATTATAATCTATAATTTTTTTTTATGCTTAAGGTGTAATACTATGAGAAGTAAATAAATTATCATTTATATTTTTTCGTGTAGTTACTATGGTAATTTTATGGTTATATATATATATATATATATATATATATATATATATATATATATATATATATATATATATATATATATATATATATATATATAAGGAACCGCGGTGATATTATTCTGAATGTTGCTTCCAGTGAAATAGCATCTTTGCTCCTGCCGGGAGGCAAGACATCACATTCCAGATTTGCTATACCACTCTCTTTGAACGAAGATTCTACGTGCAATATATCACAAGGCATTGACCTTGCTGAGCTTATAACAATGAGCAAATTGATAATATGGGATGAACGACTAATTACGCACAAACACTGTTTTGAGGTTTTGGACAAAACCATAAGGGATCTATTGAGGTTCGCCATACAGGATAGTGCTGAAAAGAATTTTGGTGGAAAGACAATAGTTTTGAGCGACAATTTTAGTAGGGGTGACCGCGGTTCCAGTTCTGCAAATGGCCAAACCGGAATCAAAACCGGAAAGTACGGTTCCAGTTTCGGTTCCGATTTATGAACCGAATTTTTTTTAAAAAAAAAAAAAAGAGAGAAAAGAAAATTCCAAAGAGGCAAAAACCAAGGTTTGGTCTTTGCCTCTTTAGCCTTTGCGCCACTGCCCACTACCCACTGCGGCAGTGAGGCGGTATGCTGCCATCAACTTTTTTTTTTTTCGGTTTGGAACCTTAACCGGAACCAAATTGGTTCTGGTTAGGAACCGGAAGTGAAACTGTACGGACAGTTCCGTTCGATTACGGTTCAAACTGAACCGTGGTCACCCCTAAATTTTAGACATATCCTAACTGTTATTCCGAAAGCAACAGGACAAGTAGTTGTCGGAGCAACTATTAATTCTTCATACCTGTGGACAAATTGCAAGGTATTAAGGTTCACAAAGAACTTGAGACTACAGACCTTAGCTTTAGAGGAGATAGATAGACGGTTGATTGGTTTTCAAAATGGATTGCAGACATCAGAGATCGGATTGCAGGGGTTGTAAACGACGGTTCATTTGAGATCGATATTCCGACACAGTTTTTGTTGAAGTGTGGACACGATCCCATAGCAACTATAGTGGAAAGCACCTTCCCAAGTTCGAGATATGACTTGCTTGATGAGTCACAGTTAGAAGGCTGAGCGATCCTCTCGCTGACGTTAGATGTCGTTGATCAAATTAATTAGGACATGTGCAACATGAATATTGCAGAAGGATAAACATATTTAAGTTGTGACTCTTTCTGTAAGGCAGAATCAGACAATGAAAATCTATTAGAAGTACACACTCTTGAATTTTTAAATAGTTCGAGATTGTTGGGTCTTCCTAATCATTCATTGACATTAAAGATTAGTGCACCTATTATGTTATTGCGGAACATAGTCCACTCTCTTGGTATTTGTAATAGGACGCGGCTCATCATCACAAGATTGGCAGATCACATTGTCGAAGCAAGAATAGTTAATGGGACACATGAAGGAACCAAAGTTCTTATCCCCTGATTGTCTCTCACTCCTTCTGATACGAGATTGCCCTTCAAGTTCCAGCGTAAACAATTCCCCTTGATGCTTACATATGCCATGATTATCAACAAAAGGCAAGGCCAAACACTAACTCACATTGAATTATTGCTAAAAAAAAATGATCTTTAATCACGGACAATTGTACGTGACTTTTTCCTGAGTCACCCATCCTGATGGCCTAAAGGTGTTAGCTCTAGACGAGGATGGACAAGATTGTGTTGCGATTACCAATTTCGTCTACAAAGAGGTTTTCAATAGTGTGTAAATACAATCGTTGATATTACATTTTTTTTTCCAAAATGACAAAATTGCTATATATGATTATATCTAGACAAAAATATATCTTCTATACAAATAAATTAGGATAACAATTGATTACTATAACTAAGTTGCTAAAGAACGAGCATATTTACCTAATTTATAAAAATCTTAAACAATGATATATAAAATCTTTAAAGTTATAGCACTGCATGCGTACATCTACACATTAAATATTGATTTGAGCAATTATTTGCTCAAAT